GGGGGGGGGGTGAGGGTTTAGGGTTTAAGGGTTTAGGGGTTTAGGGTTTAGGCATTGCTGATCCGCACCTCGCATCATGGAACCTAAGAGTTTTCCAAAGCAACAGTCAAATGATATAGGGGTTATTAAGGTGGATACTAGGAGCTTAGAATGTAGCTCATATCAATCTAGTTTCCATTCTTTTTCAAGTTGATTTTCAATTTGATTCTCAATTACAATACTTTCCGTTTACTTTTCCGTTCTCCCTATGTGACCCCTATACATACCCTACTGTAATGTAGTAGCTTCCATTTTCTTTTCCATTATCCCCTTTTCTAAACCATTTAGCCCCTGCAAGCAACAGTCTCATGCCGTATGAGGCAGGAAACCATCCTGCCATGTGCTGAGAACCCAACCATCCTTGATGCAACAAATTGTAACTTCCCAAAATAGGGGACATCAATATGGACCCCAATATATTATTGTCCTTATTATAGGGACCCCCAAAAAACTACCCCTAATTAGGGGAAACCACTTAAATTTCACCTTAAACTTGAATCGCCAACAATTCCTGCCCCAAACCACCGGGGAACCCCATATGGACCCTTGTTGCAAAGACCTTGCTGGTTCCACATGCGTTTAGGCAGTGGAAATTCTAGAAGCAGGCGCTTCCCAACATCGACCCGGGCCTCTTCTTCAGCATGCTCTTTGGGGCGGAGCAGTTTGAGAAGTACATCGGGAAGCTAGGTTCCATCTCAGAGGGTTTAGGTTTCCAGCCTCAGAAGAAGAAGAGAAAACTTGCCACTTGGGACGAGACGTAGTTGTAATTCTTCGTCCTTAACATGATGCGGGCGCGCTGTTCGACAGGTTTCTTGTCACTTCATGCTTGGTCGTTGCTATCACACTTTGCTCTTTCAACTCTACAGCCTAAACCTTAAACCCCAAGCCCTAAAGCCTCAACCGTAAACCCTACCACCCCTAGACCCCTAAAGCCCTAACACTCTAAACTTTCATCCCCTAGGTCCCTTGCCTCCTACAAAGCACAAACCCTAAACTCCAAAGCTCAAGCCCCAAAGCCTAAACCCTAAACCCTAAATCCCAAGCCCAAAATCCTAAACCCCTGAGGCCTAAACCCTTAGCCCCTAAACCCTAAACCCTAAACCTTGGGTACTGCTCCCCCTCAGTAACAGTTGGATAATAAACATAATATGGGTATATATAGCCCTTAATAGGACCCCCCAATATAGACTGTTACTGGGGGGGGGGCAGTACCCAACCTAAACCCTGAAGCTCAAGCCCAAAATCCTAAACCCATAAGCCCTTAGCCCCTAAACCCTGAAACCCTTAGCCCCTAAACCCTAAACCCTAAAGCTCAAGCCCAAAATCCTAAACTCTTAAACCCTAAACCCTTAGCCCCTAAACCCTAAACCCTAAATCCCAAGCCCAAAATCCTAAACCCTTAGCCCCTAAACCCTAACCCTAAACCCTAAACCCTAAACCATAAAGCCCAAAATCCTAAAAAAGGAAGCTCTACCTCGCCATGCAGACGGACCATATTGCCCGGGATCTTCAGAAGCTGGGGCTAAAGTGTAGGGGGATCCTTACGTAGGGTTGTAGGGGTGTAGGGTTTTAGGTTTTAGGGTTTGAGGGTTAAGGGTTTAGGGTTTAGGGCCTAGGGTTTTAGGGTTTTCGGGTTTTGGGTTTTAGGGTTTTAGGGTTTAGGGTTTAGATCTGAAGTCAGACATAGACAAGTACCCTCCACCAAGATAGCATGCTTATGTGGGCCAGGGGGGATTAATATAGGGTGGATAGTTAGGTCAATCCCCCCCATAGTAATAGCTCCTTAATATGGACTTANNCTGGGTGGGGGATTGACCCAAGTGGATAGTTAGTTTCCCACCTCCCTTAGTCACAAACCTGAAAAAACATAGTACCAGTCTATGTCAGGGGGAGTGTTCATTATGAGAGAGGTGGCGGGGGTGGGTACAGGTGACAATACTACGAAGACTCCCAAAAAAAATCTATATATTCTCAGTTTGAATTTACATTTGATTCTCCATTACCAGGGGGAATATCCCACGGAGCCTGGGGAGCGGTGATGAGCTGTGCGTCTGTAGCTTCAGCATGTCCGACGACTTGTTTCGCTACCAGCAAGGTAGCACTGTAGGAATAAGCTTACTCCTAGTGCAACCTACTGGCCATCACAGTATGAGTTGCACGCAGTTTCTATGTAGCACCGATTTAATAATCCTTTAGCCAATTTCAAAAACACACAGGCAAGTATTCCCCCAATCTTACATCTTGGACCCTCAGCCTGCAACCCTAAGCCCCAAGCGCAAACCCTAGACCCCAAACCCTGAAATCTAAAGCCTGAACCCATGACCTGAAATCCGCAATCCTAAACTGGCCCCCTTACAACCTGAAATTCTTAAACCCCCGATTCTGTGCTCAAGGAAGGATTTCGAGCGGCACCAGCAGGGCCAGGAGGGCGTACCGGGACGGGATGCAACCTGACGGCGCAGCAGCATCCTTTTTTCGTACAGCTGAACGCGCTTTAGGGTTTAGGGTTTAGGGGTTAAGGGGTTTAGGGTTAAGGGGTTTAGGGTTCAGGGGTTGAGGGTTTAGGGGTTAAAGGGTTTAGGGCGTAGGGGTTTAGGGTTTAGGTGTTTAGGGTTGAAATCCTGCATGACCCTAATTTTGCTATTGCTAATTTTCATGATGGATAGGGCCTTGGTACAGCCACGCTGTTCATCAACAGTGAGGTTTTAGGCTTTTCGAAGGCGATGCAAAAGGTGCCTACACAATTAGCCAACTTATGGAGGTCCAATGCAGAGGGTTTGGTTTGTAGACACACGGCTAAAGGTTCGGAAGGCTGTCCCCTTAGAAAACTCGAGCCTCAAGCTTTACATCCTGTCAGCCTACGTCTTCATCCCACATCCTGACGTTAAGCTTCCCTAAGCCCTAAACCCTAAACCCTGAACCCGAAACCTTAATCCTAAACCCTGAACCCTAAACCTTAAATCCTAAACCCTGAACCCTAAACCTTAAACCCTAAACCCTAAACTCCCAAAGCCCTAAACCCCCAAACCCCTGAACCCTTAAGCCCTCAAACCCTGGGCCTCCAAGGTCATTGGCAATTCCATCGAAAGGGAGATGCGCTGGGGTTCGGACAAGAAGGCCGCTTCTCCAAACAGGGACGCCCCGGAAGCTTAGGGTTGAAGGGTTTGGGGCTTAGGGGGTAGGGTTTAGGGTTTAGGGTTTAAGGGGTTTAGGGGGTTCAGGGTTTAGAGGGTTTAGCGGGTCTAGGGTTTAGGGAGTTTAGGGTTTACTGTGTAGGATTGGCAGGAACAGCAAATTTTCGACAAGCATCTTGACCCCAATTGGGAGAATGGGACTATCATATTGCTTACGCAGGGTTTCCCTTTCTATTGTGGAGGTGATACAGCTTCCAGGGCTCTGAGAAAGATTAGATTATCTTTCAAGAGCCGGCTGCCACCCCCTAATGATAAAGGATTCCCCTCACAGCTTACCAGCATCAAGTATTATTCACACTAAGAACAATACATTCATATACTCATGCTGTATTTAGAAAAGACTGTTAATATTTCAATTTTGGGATTGCAGATGAAGCAGGACCAGCAAATCAAGCGCCAGCAGTTCGTGCGGGAGGTTACCTGCGCTACGCAGCTTGCGGCTTGTACTTGCTTGGATGTCCCTTTGGTTGTTGCCGGTTGGAATGCTAGGGTCCGGGGCTTAGGGTTTAGAACTTATGATGGTTGGTTTCGGGCTTAGGGCTAGGGGTTTACGGGTTTCGGGGCTCAGCAGCCGAGCTATGGTGGTTTTAAACCTGTTGATTTCAAGAAACCTGAAGCGAAGAATCTAAGAATGCTCTTGAGATGTGCCAAACCCTTCCCAAAATTAGCATGGAACCACAAAAGCTCCCTAAACAGAGCATTGGTTCAGAAAGCGAGGTTGTATGATATCCGGCTCGGCTTTAGTTTGAAGTGAAGTCGTCGACCCTGAACCCTAAACCCTA